CTCACTAAACTCAGTGTCGTACACTTTTTGCAGTTTATATATCACAATGCCACAATATAGGCAATAGGTGCGAGATTCTTGGGTTCAAAACCTGCATTTAAAGGATTGGCTTCAAGTATATGAAAGTACTGCGGGTCAAGTAGCGAAATGCAAATTTAGTAGCACAATTGTAAGGATGATTATGGAAACTAATGATGATGATGCCGACGAAAATGATTTATCTGAAGAAGACGATTTAATTTAAAATGGCACTTGTTCATACTTTTTTCTTTATAATTAACTTTACTTTCATATCGGTGGAGAGCTAGTTTAACTGCTGGCAGCACTGGTCCAGTCTAACTTTATTTGTCTATGGTCTAACTTTGTTTATTAGTCCATATATATTTATTTATATCCATGTATATTTCCTGTATAGGACAGTTACTATACTCTTTGATGTATATGCATTAGCATAGACATAGTATCTTATAGACTAAACATTCAGTGACGTCATCAGCGTGTGAAAGGAATGCACGTATATAGTTAGACATAAGAGTAAGGGAGAAGCAAATCTATATTTCTTGTCTTATTCTAGGTATGCGTTTTTGATTGTTTTCCCTCCTTTATTTGACATTAACGATGTCAAGCTCTTTTGAATAATATTGATATTATAAGCAAACAGGTAAATGAATTTAGTGTTTTTTGTGGATCTTAGTTATTAGGTAAGATGAAAAAGATGGTAAGTTGTAACATTTTAGGATGCAACAGCATCAGTCAACGAAAAATTGATAATATAACCTTTCATCGGTAAGTTTGTTTTGTGCTTACATTTGCTACTTGTACTGATTATTATCTATTGTTTTGAATATAAAGTGTAACATTTCATGTTTTTAATGAACTTTGTGATGTATTTTGTCAATTATTTGAACTCCCAAATTGTAAATTCTTCATGATAATGCTCCTTAATTTGAACGGTCATTCGAAAGCTTAAAGTCATAACAAACGTGTACTTTTTGATTTGGTAGGATTATAGAAACTTTAGGGATATCAGCAAGTACAATAATGTTTTCGCATTGTTCAATAATAATTGTTATTGTGATTAGTAGTTATGTCCATAAATATGAATCACATAATGTTATACATATACATACACTTTTATGTTCAGCTTTAAAGGAAACTCCTTATTGCCCTACAACTCTTCAATCATTTTCCATATTACATAGACGTCACAAATAATATGTAAGTATCAACCTGAAAACATGTTTGGATTCAAGTACATAAATATTGGGCAAAGTATTTTTAATTTCACAAAATATGTATTGCCTGAAATCAGATGCACAAAACTTTATTGCATTCCATTAATTCTATTATACATTAGCAACAATTACATTACAATATTTATTAAAAAAAATATGTCATGCTAATATAAAAATAAATATAAATATAGATAAAATAATAAATAAATAAATAAGTCTTAATCTTAAGGTACACACTAACACAACAACATAAGAAATATTCTCAATTAATGACGTAGAAAAAAATTGATGATAATATACTTACCGTTACCATTAGTCAGTATCAAAAGTTATAGGTTTTGTGATAGTTGCCTAGCTTGGCAGGAGAATTGGCAACTGCAGTTATTTGGAGACAACTGTGTGGGAGGTCTATGTTCAGCGGTGGAGGACATTTGTTAGGCTGTAAATGTATTAATTAACAATATCTAAAGCTTAATATGTACATAATTTTTTTAAATGTTTGGTATGAATAATATTATCATTACATTTACATATACTTGCTATTTAATTAAATCAATTGATATTGTTTTAATTGTTATAGGTATTGTATTTATGCACAGATACACATTCTTGATTTTTTTTTGTTAAATACTTTGATATAAAAGTGTACTATATATTTAATATATTAATTTCTTTTAAATATATTATTTCACAGCTTTCCTAAGGAATCAGCTATCCGTAACAGTTGGATAATCGCTACTGGTAGTGCTTATAGGTAACCAACAAAACTTACCAGTGTATGCTCAAAACATTTTAAGCCTCATTGTTTTAGGTGGATTAAATATGCTTAATTTATGTAATTTATAATATAATTAAGATAATTTTTTTAAATGTTATAATTTCTTGTTGTATCTTGTTGTTTCTCCATAAGTGATATAAGTTTGATCTTGTTGGTAGTTATGATTTTTGACATTGTTCTGTATGTATTAAAATTTGACTAGCATTGCTTATTTTATTTTCAAATGCTGACATTCTGTATTATTATGACTTGTAATAATTGGGTGGCATGACAATGACAAAATATTTACTTATAGATGTATTGATTAAACATAAATCCCCATTTACAAATGTTGGAACTTTATCTGTACTACCATGTTTTATGCAAATAAAGATTTAAATAAAATAAAGAAATAAGTAATTTAAAGTCCTGGCCTAAATATAAAAATGAATAATTTATTATGCAATAATAATTGTAAAACTGACTGGGAATGCCTACCAATGGGGCATTTAGTCCACCCTTAATCCCTTTTATAAAGGTGTTATAAACATTAATGTGTAAATAAATTAAGAAATAAATGTAATAATTATGATAATTTCTATTTAATTGTCATAAAAATAATGTAATAAAGATGTTTTTGACAAGAGATAAGTATTACTTTTCTAAGTATAGTTTAGGAGTTGTACCTTATTATTTATACCATTAAAATATATTATATACAAGGCAAATAATATATATATATATATATATATATATATATATATATATATATATATATATATATACCACGACCAGCACCCAAGAATTTTTGCCATGCAAAAGTATAAATCAAGTTTACAAATGCACATTTTTGAGAAATTCTAAAGCTACTCAAACCAAGAATTACAACGAAGAATTACTAGGAAAGAAGACAAAAATTTTGTTAAATTTGTTGTTTATTAATGTGATCAAAAATTAATAAGTAATCGTCAGTTTATTTTGATTTATTGAATTATATTTAATACTAGCTGTTCCCCGCGACTTCGTTCGCGTGTTAGGGTTTTTATGTTTCTGCGCGGAACCCTGATTCTTTTTCTAAAATAAAAGTAGCCTATGTTACTCCTTATGAAATCAGCTATCTGCCAGTGAAAGTCCCGTCAAAATCGGTCCAGCCGTTTCGGAGATTACCCGGAAGAAACAGACAGGCAGACAGACAGACAGACAAAAATTTTAAAAATTGTATTTTAGTTATAGGTATAGGTATCGTATTTAATTTCATATGCATTTAGTAAAAAACTGTAATTTTGACATTACAAACAGACACTTCAATTTTATTTATTTGTATAGATATAATTGTGTTCTCATTTCTTTTACTTAATGTAACATTGTTAATATTTCTAAATGTTGTGTAAGTACACAAAATTTAGTTCTTTTTCCTTTTTAAATTTCAATATATTTTCATTTAAATAGAATATATATCTCTACAGTCTATCAAAAGTCCACTGTTGAACATAAACATGATTATAGTTATTTGGCATAGTTTCAACGCTTGGAAAGCGGGTTGTCAACCATTATTTAGTTGTTATCAGGACAATGCTGCTGTTTATCTGTTTTGATGTTTCCCTATGTCGCCTCATACACCACCCATGGAATGATATGAGGTAGCAGATAATCTTACACTGCATGGTAAATTAAAATAGAATATTATAAAACATTCGTTTTTATTTTATATACCAACATATTACAAAAAAAAATCCTTTGTTGATGCTTTACAACGTATATTAACTAAAACATTTTACCATCTTAACCATTAGGTAACATGATTAAGCCACCTAACCATAAGTAAGTCACCTAAAAAAGGCCTTTTGTAGATATCCTCATAGGATGACTTGCCATAGTTGCCATGCCTGCGTGAAAATATGCGTTATTCTGGTTGGCCACTGCAGTTATTTATTATTTTAAGTTTTCATCGGGAAAGTGCTGCTGCCCCATCCCCATCTTGTATTATTGCTTACGACGCGGGGTAATATCATCCCGTGTACAGACAAATTCTCTTGTACGCCACAACTTGCCGCACACAAGACACTAACTTAACAAAACATGCAGGAAATCGCGGGAATAGGCTCATAACCGTGTTTTGTACTACAAAACTTAAGTGGAAACCCTTTCCTTTCGAAGGTCTGTGTTCAGCACTGAACTTGTGATGGAATGGTATGTTAAAACATTATTGATTTTTTTTCGTAAAAACAACAAAACTCGACACAAGGAAATTTTAGTAGTAGTTTATCAATAATTATATTAATATTAATTGAGAATAAAAATATTAATTTATTTAATATTTTTATTCTCAATTAATATTTAAGTACATACATAACATATTGTTATTTATTAGCGATATCACACTTTGTGCTATTAGCGCCTTTACTTAGTGCCGTCAAAATCCAAGGAGTTTATTGAATGTCCAGTAAAATCTTCGATGCGCCATTGAATACAGAATGATGATTCTGTTTTTACGCCGTTTCCGCCCGTAGTTTTTGTCACAGAATGTATTTTCAAGAGAAATTAATTAATCATCTGAATTATAAAAGAACATTTTTTATGGTAACAATTAAGTTTTTTGTAAGAATGTAAGTGCTGTGAATATAAATAAACCCATAACGGGGGAAATGGAACAATATCTGGTAACCCAGTGAAAGTACCTCACGCCTATTTCTATCTCAAAAGCATACGCGAATGCTTTATCTAGTCAATACTCTATCTACGTGCATTAGTCGTAGATAGTACTATGTCTATGGCATTAGTCCGTGTTTGACTTTGATTACGTTGTCAAGTTGAAGCTTGAAGTCACAGAGTACATTATATATAGGGAATTGAAGTCTAGTATACAGTTATCTGTGGTTGAAGTTGTCAACAAAAATCTAAAATTCTTTTGTAATTTTTATTTCCTAGTTTCCAGTTTAGTCATTGTGTAGATACAAAACATATACATTTATTATATTTTCATAATAAAAATAGGGGTGATATTAAACATGGATTACATTAAAAATGGAGATAAAGTTTTGATAATTTGGAGTAATTGTGAACAAAATGACATTACAACATTTGTTAACGAAATTAAAAGTACGACCAATGATGTAAATGTTTCTTTCGAAAACTCTGCAATGATCACTGACAGTAAGTTTTAAAAATACTTCAGAAATTGTTAAAATAAATATTTCACAAATTGATACTTACGACGTGTTTGTTTCAGATTCTCGTGAACGCTCTTCATTTGATGTAGTTTTATCTAACTTACTCCCGCCACATTCAGTAGTACATGATGATAGTTTATTAGCTACAATAATTAAAATTCTGAAACCCAGCGGAAAAATTGTTTTAAAAGATCAAAACGAAGTCTCCAGTGCCTTAAAACTCAATGGTTTTGTCAATGTAACAAAAGGTCCTGATAACTTATACACTGCAGAAAAATCTAAATTTGAGGTGAGATTTTAATCTATGTGAATTTTAAATCAGTCAGTATATAGTTATATTCAAAATAAGATATTTAATTGCACATACAGACTATGTATTTTCTTGCTTTCGTGTATATTAACAGTGTAATTATCATTACATGAAGATTGATATAATAATGTATGTTGTTTTGGTACTGGTCTTGAAATTTGGATATGGAGGAACTTTCAGGCCTGTGAAATGAAAAACTATTGTTAAAGTACTATAAAAGTTAATAGAAATAATGTCACTAAAATCAAAGTGTATGCTCTAATTCTGAGACAACAGATATAATGTTTGTGTGACCAACTAACTGTGTGTAGTTTTTGCAAGCACGAAGTGACCTTCCCACATCTAGTTGTCGTTATCTCATAGGGGGATTTTTCCATAGTTGACATGCTTGGCAGGCAGGTTGGCAACCATAATTTTCTATAATTTTGAGTTCTTATCAGGAAGATGCTGATGCCCATCTCCTTCTGTTTCCCTTTGTTGCCTCTTATGGCACCCAAAAGAGGATTTGGGATAGTGGATATAGTCACACCACCACTGTACAGTAAATTTGTAATATAATTTCCCAAATTTTTTATTTTTAGGTTGGCTCTAAAGTGTCACTAAATCTTGGTCAAAAACCAGCTGTTTGGAAATTAGAAGATACAGTGGAAGAAGCATGGTCAGGAGTAAATGATGATGATATAATTGATGCAGATCAGCTCTTAGATGAAGATGACTTAAAGAAACCAGATAAACAGTCTCTTAGAGGTAAATATAATATATAAAAAAGTGTAGAAGTACCATTCTATAAGCATCCTAATCTTTGGCACAAGCCTTTTTATTTTTTTATTATTATTCTTATAGCCTAGTAAAAGTCCAGTGTTGAACACTGGACTTTTACAGAAAATTAGAGATCATGCAGAAGGAGAAGCTGCTATAAAATCCTTACACTCCAAGAGTTGATCACTAATATAAAATTTTTACTTTCAGCCTTGGAAATAGTTTAAATAGGTCTCTTGATACTCGATTTGTAAATCTTAATACTTAATGTTGTAAAAAAGGGGTCACCCACAATAAAACTAATATTTTTGGTTTGGCAATGAATGTTTTAAAGCATTCCCAAAAACTGCTAATCCAGCAACTTGCTACAGAAGATCAACTTATGTTACGATTGACTGCAGACTTGTTGCAAGTTTTAATTAAGTTTTTATCGATCCTTTGACGGATTCTATTGTGTTTAATTAACTTATTTTTAAATTCAAGATATTTCGGGTGCTTTACAGCAGCCATGTTCACTTAGACTCAGGTGACTGACATCCCTATGTCAGATTAACCCATAGTACCTTTAGCTTTTTTAATCACCATCTAATTGAAGTTTTATACTATAAGCCGGTACCCGTGAAGTCTAAACTGTCCAAGTTATAAATGCTGTTAAGACGAGTGTCTAACTCATGTGTATAATTCACATTGCCCCCATGGCTTTACTTTCTTTCTGAGTAAATTTTATCAATATGTTCCTTTTTTTTGGAAAAATTACAAACAGCATTTATGAAATGACACGATCGCCATGATGATCGCCACCTCGGTAACAGAATATAATATTAGTTTGCGATTTCACGGCATTGACATCCATCGGTTCGCATGATGATTATACAGCTGCAATTGTTGAAATTAAATCCCTAGAGACCAGAAAGTTAGTGCTGGTCACACTTTGCATCATCCGGATATCCCTGACTGCACTTTCATTTGATAGCATGGCATCCACCACATCCAAATACTATAGTGTGTATGTGTTTTTGTATTTTTCAACATTTCATACTACAACTTCTTATGAAATAAAACCCACTCAAGTCGGTACGACTTTCCATTGACGTCCGTCGAGTTGGGGGTTGATATTTTTTTTTACAGAAAGGTTACATTATTATAAGCAAACACGCAAAGTTTCAACATGCGGAAACGCATACTGTTTGAGAAAAACATTATTGAAAATCAATTATTTTTGCAATATTTATGCCAATTCCCATTGCCGTCCGTCAAGTTGGGGGTTGATATTTTTTTACAGAAAAGTTACATTATTATAAGCACACACGTAAAGTTTCAACACTCGGAGACGCGTACTTTTTGAGAAAAAAAAAATATTGAAAATCAACTAATTTTGCAATATTTATGTCAATTCCTACCGTAAAACTGACGCTATTTTCTAGTCATTGTCACCATCGATTTTATAAATCGATTCGAATCGTAAGCTGATGTATCGATTTACAAAAAATTGATTTCTAAAATTTCGATATTTTTTCATGTTTGCGTTTATAATGTAAAATCCATTTTAAGAGAAAAAAATCCCCTTCATCAGAAAACAAATAGGGGGACTGATTAAGAGGGATTTCTGTATCTATTTTGTGACTGCAACGTCTCCGGCGCTGCGGGAAGAGCAGCCTCTACGCCTACGCGCGTCCGGCTCTATAAAAACACTCTAGGGCAGGGGTTGGCAACCTTTTGAGTCGGAAGAGTCAAAAATTACAATTTACAAAATTTCAAAGTTTTTAAAGAGCCACAAATTTTTTTCTTGCCAACCATAAATAGTACTTGCATAAATAAATTTTTTGATAAAAAAACTAATCTATTAATTTATAAGAAAAATATATATTTATTCATACATAAATAGTGTTTTTCACAATAAATTAGAATCTAATTTCTATTATTATCTATATGTATATATATATATACAACGTGCCGCTTCAATGGTGACTTTAATTTAACACACAGGTAGGGCTAGTGCCCATCAATCATAAATAATTTGGATAGGTTAAAATAACTCTTAAATTGAAAAATATTTTTTCAAACAAACTTAATAATAAAAAAGTTACTAAAATTAGGATCAGCCTTGTTGTATTTGCCATTACGATCACAAGTTTGCACAAACACTAATAACACAAATAAAACCGTCCGTATCGCAAGAGATATAAACGTACCTACTAGATTAGAAAACGAAAACAAAACAAAGTGTCTTTATCGCTGTACTATAATCTAATTACTATTCTAATTATACAAAAATTAATAAATAAAACAATACGACAGTTCTTGTACTTAGAGTACAGGTTGCTCTAAGATGCAATTTTCTAAAATCTATAATATAAACATGAATCGCTGAATGTGTTGCTAAGCGCAAATCTTGAAAGCAGCTGAACCGATTACGCTGATTCTTTTATTATAATATTCCTTGAAGTACGAAGATGGTTCTTACGGAGAGAAAAATTTAAAAAATTGCCTGAAAAGTCTAAAAACATCACTTTACTTTTAATTATATTCATGCAAGAGAACGCTTGCTCGCACGAATATGTCGATCCAAAGATAGTCAGCACTCCAAATGCCAACTTTTTCACCTCACTGTAGCAATCTGGGATACTATTCCATGCGTCGAATATAAGTGCCTCAACTCGCGGCATTTCTTTTAAAGCTGTCCATTTTTATAGCGTTACGTACATACATTTCTGAAACTCCTTGCTTTTCTCTGCTGCTTAACTCTGTAAATTTTCAACTCCACAAAGCTTTACTTTTTAAAACAATTGCATTTCTAGAGATCCAGTATCAACTCCAAATGGCTCAGTGTGAATCGATTTTTAAATGTTTTTTTTTTATAAAATAAATAATATTTGCTTATAAAACTAAAGAGCCGCAGCTTCACATCCAAAGAGCCGCATGTGGCTCGCGAGTCGCAGGTTGCCGAACCCTGCTCTAGGGGCATTGAATTATATGAACTACGTACTAGAGAAACCATTCCGAACATTGACTATGTTCAACTGAACTGTACTGCAATCCGTACAAACTAAATATTGCGTAAATTGAAGATTTGTGAATTCCATAAAATAATAATTATTACATTTTATTTACAAATATAATATGTTTGTTTAGATTAAATTAAGATATTTTATATTAAATTCTAATATTTATTTTATATCAAATTAAAGTCTTCGCGCATGCGCAACTACTACTACCGCGCATGCGCGAAGACATAGAGTAGGACACAATTTTTGTTTGGAATGGCTTCTCTAGTATGTAGTACATATAACTCAATGTCTAGGGGTAGGACAGACTCATACCAGGTAGAGTCGGGGTTAATCAATTAGGTTCTTTGACATAAGTTGAACCTAACCTATTTTATTTCTTATCTGCCCTTATAGGTACTGTTAAAATAAAACAAATTTCAATAAGAGATCATTTATTATGGTATCTTTCTTGTTTTTCATAAAATGGATTTATATTTACATTATAAATGCAAACATGAAAAAATATCAATATTTTAGAAATCGTTTTTTTGTGAATCGATACATCAGCTTACGATTCGAATCGATTTAAAAATCGATCTTTTTCGTAAAGAATCGACATCCTTACTGACGATAACAATACAAAATAGCGTCAGTTTTACCGTAGGAATTGACATAAATATTGCAAATATAATTGATTTTCAATAATTTTTTTCTCAAAAAGTACGCGTCTCTGAATGTCGAAACGTTGTGTGTGTGCTTATAATAATGTAATCTTTCTGTAAAAAAAAATATCAAACCCCAACTCGACGGACGTCAATAGAAAGCTAAGACCACAAGTCTGTTACGAAACAACGTTCCAAGTTCGTAAAACTACACCCTGCCCTTATTTTTCTAAAACGTGCAATATATTATGATACTGATTCAATTTCTTTTTGATCGCGTTTATAAAATTTAAAAAACACTGAAATCTCGTTTGGTTTCGGACTATAATGCTTCGTAAGAATCGTTACAATTTCCGTGAATGTCACATCACTGGAATTTTTAGGCGTAATTAATGCCAAAATGGTCTCGCATACATTTACACCACAAACTGTGTAAAAATTCGCCATTTGAACCGCGTCTGTGACGATTCCGTTCGCCTCAAAACAGTACTTTAAAACTATATAATTGGCCCAATCATCACTATGTAAATTAAATTCGTGAAAATTCACTGATTTACGTTACATTGTTCCACTTTTTACACTTCGTCGCCACTGTTAGATCCATTAAAACACCGTAATTTGGGTCGTGTATGACTTAACTGACATTATTTCTTAACAATGTTATGCAAGTACCTACATTCATAACTCTTTATAACATTCTATGATATAACAATACCCAACCAATATTTCATAGAGTGATGATAGACTGGGTAATAATATTATGGTTGTAACACGAATGGATCGACCGGGGAAGGTACACGCTCTCACAGAATATCAATGTAAAATAGCTGCTGTGTCTCGTATGGTGTAGTATCGCGAACCGGAGACTTACAGGATACGAGGCATTCCATCTTAGTCCTCAGGGACAAGAACCCATCAGCATTTTAATTCTTAATTTATGATAAACGTAGATATCTATTCGCCATATTATCCACTTACCATCAGGTAGATTGTGTGCTCGTTTATCACCCTTATTGTAAGTAAAAGTGACGCAAAAAATTAATTATCAACATCGCTATCATTTAATGAGTATCTGTTATCAACTTACTGGTTTGGTGTATGTATTCTAGTTTTGTGTTGCGAACGTAAAGGCTTTGTGTTCCGAGGTCGCGAAACGGATTGAGGTCGGCGGTTTTATTGAATAATAGATATTAAACATCATTGATTCAGTTACGCACGTTACGTGAAAACATAAATTTCCAGGATATATACGTCCCACTCTTTACATTTCTGAGAGGGTCTTAAGGCAAGGAAGTGTGTACACTTTATATGTCTTCGAAATATATATATTTTTTATAATTTCTCAGATAGGCAGGTTTCCTTACGATATTTTCCTGTGCTGCCGAGAATGTCGTACATCAGCACTTAAAATTGCATTAATATTTTGCCATCTTGAGTCGAACCCGGACTGCCCCTGAGCTACCACAAATACGAGTATGTCATAATATTTGTCTGATGCTCATATTGGTACGACTTTCTATTGACTCCCGTCGAGTTGGGGGTTGATACCTATTTTTACAGAAAAGTTACACTATTATAAGCACACACACAAAGTTACAACATGTGGAAGCGCGTAATTTTTGAGAAAAAAGTTATTGAAAATCAATTATTCTTGCATTGTTTATGCCTCATCCTATAATAAAACTGACGCCATTTTTTATTGTTATTGTCAGTAGGGATGTCAATTCTTTCCGAAAAACATCGATTTTTTAAATAGATTTGAATTGTAAGCTGATGTATCGATTCTCAAAAAATCGATTTCTAAAATATCTATATTTTTCATGTTTGCATTTATAATGTAAATATAAATCCATTTTATGAGAAAAAAATCCCCTTCATCATAAAATATAGGGGGACTGATTCAGAAGGATTTCTGTATCTATTTTGAGACTGCTACGTCTCCGGCGCTGCGGGAAGAGCAGCCTCTACGCCTTAGCGTAACAAATCGCAGGCATCCCTCCTCAGGCAGGTTACAGCAGGCGGAGGCTGCTCCCCCTACGCGCCTCCGGCTCTAAAACCACTCTAGGGGTAGGACAGACTCGTACCAGATGGAGTCGGGGTCAATCAATTCGGTTCTTGGACATAAGTTGAACCTAATCTATTTTATTTCTTATCTGCCCTAATTGGTACCGTTAAAATAAAACAAATTTCAATAAGAGATCATTTATTTTGGTATCTTTCTTGTTTTTCATAAAATGGAATTATAATTACGCTGAAGACGTGTGCTCCGGAGTTGGCACCGGTTTTAACGCGTCTTTTCCGGTACTCCTACTCCCAAGGCGTAGTCCCGAATTCATGGAAGACAGCTTTGATCCACCCGATCCCTAAAAAAGGCGACCGCTCAGACCCGTCCAACTACAGGCCTATTGCCATCACCTCCTTGTTCTCCAAAATAATGGAATCCATTATAAACTGCCAGCTCATGAGGTACCTTGAGGATCACCAGCTGATTAGTGACCGCCAGTACGGTTTTCGTCGAGGTCGATCAGCTGGTGATCTTCTAGTCTATCTGACTCATAGATGGGCGGAGGCAGTAGAGTCCAAGGGGGAGGGAGGCATTGGCCGTTAGTTTGGCCATAGCGAAGGCCTTCGATCGGGTCTGGCACAAAGCGCTTCTTTCGAAGCTTCCTCCTTTTTTTTTATAGAATTAGGGTGACAAACGAGCACACAGTCCACCTGATGGTAAGTGGTTGCTGCGGCCCATAGACATCTACATCTATCCTCTGTTACAAATCAAAATGTAGATGCGTTGTCACCCGTGAGGACTAAGATGGAATGCCTCATTTCCAGTAAAAAGGGCCTCCGGCCACCTGCACTCACCAAGCGAAACGCAGAGGTAAACCTCTACTTCATGCTGGTTTTCTGTGAGGTCGTGGTACTACCCCGGTTCGAGCCGGCCCATCCGTGCGACAGCAAAAGCTGCCGCGTGGCTCTACCACTGTTGCTATGGGCTTCCCGAGAAATTGTGCAAATGGATCACCAGTTTCCTTGCTGATCGGAGCATCAAGGTCGTAGTAGACGGTGCATGCTCTGATTTCAAGCCTATCAACGCTTGTGTTCCACAAGGCTGCGTGCTATCACCAACGCTGTTTCTCCTGCATATCAATGATATGTTGCTAACTGGTAGCATTCATTGCTATGCAGACGATAGCACTGGTGATGCCTTATATAACGGCCGTGCCAATATTTACGGGAAAACGTCGCTGAGTACCGGGACAAACTTGTGTCTGAAGTCGAGTCTTTGCTTAACAAAGTCTCTAAATCTAGTCCAGTTCAATTCCCAGAAGACACAAGTTTGCGCGTTTACTGCTAAAAAGAACCCCTTTGTCGTATCTCCTCAGTTTCAAGGCACTCCCCTTGCTGCCTCAGCTAGTATCGGAATCCTTGGCGTCGACATATCGAATAGTGTGCAGTTTCGTGGTCACTTGGAAGGGAAGGCCAAATTGGCCTCTGAAAAGCTTGGCGTGCTCAGCAGAGCGAGACAGTATTTCATGCCGGCACATCGCTTGCAACTTTACAAAGCGCAAGTTCGGCCCCACATGGAATACTTTCTCATCTCTGGGCCGGGGCACCCCAGTGCCAGCTCCTTCCACTTGACCGCATCCAGCGTAGAGCGGTTCGAATCGTCGACGACCGAGTTCTTCCTGATCGGCTCGATACACTGGCACTGCGTAGAGATGTTGCATCTCTTTGCGTATTTTATCGCATCTATCACGGGGAGTGCTCTGAGAAATTGTTCGGACTAATTCCAGCCGCTCAATTTCACCATCGCACATCGCGACAAAACTCGCGTTACCATCCATACCATCTGGATGATTGGCGGTCCACCACTGTGCGATTTAGAAGAAGTTTTCTCCCTCGCACAACTTCCTTGTGGAATCAATTACCACCAGCGAATTTTCCGGACCGATACGACTTAGGAACCTTCAAGAAAAGAGTTTAGCGATTTAATGTATTGCACACCTCGAACGCGGAGCGGGAGCAATCCTTACAAGATGGTAATGCGAAAGGATAAACTTTTGACTTACGAGAATGCTGACTTGTTTATGAGATAGGCATATTTTCTTCTTCTTCTTCTGAATCTCCGACAATTTTTTTCTTCCGTCATCTCCGCCTGCCTATAAAACTCCACTACTGGACCTTGGCTGATAGACGGATTAGCAATCACCGTGCCAGACGTCTCTGCTCTCCGTTACCGAACTGGGTAATAAGGCTTGGGTAAAAAATATTGAAATATCAATATTGCATATTTATTTTAGAGTATCAAATCCGTATCAATTTCTTTATATTTTAAAATGTTGTATTAATCAACAAAACATTAAGCAACAAAAGCGTTCATGTACTGTTGTCGTTTTTTCCGTCTTCAAACCGCCCAGTAATAAATTTCTGAGCCTTATCCTACTACAATGTTGTAACTACATCATGCAAAACATGACGATATGTGGATATTTATCATGCGATATGTATCGACACTGTCGAAAAATATCGATCAAATATATATCGATATATTTTTTAATATAAGTATTAATTTCCTTAAAATTTTGTCGGAGCGACTGTTTAGGATTTAAATCATAGATTACTCTTATGGTCCTCTTTTGTAAAACAAATATAATTTTAGTGTCAGTCGCGTGTCCCCACTCCCCATAGCAAAATACCACACGACATCATGCTATGGAAATAGCTAAAGTAAACAAGTCTAGCTGTTTCCACACTGGTAAGATTTCTAATCTTTTTTACAGCATATGCTGCAGAACTAAGTCTGCTTGTTAATTTTGATATATGGGGGCTCCATTGAGGCTTCGCGTCTAGTGTGATTCCAAGAAAAATGGTGGTATCGACAAGATTCAGTTCCTCTCCATTTAAAATTATATCAGTATTTAATTGTTTGGACATTTGGAGTCATGAATTTCATACATTTCGTTTTCAATGGGGCTCTCATATATCTAAACTAGCTATCAAACTTAGTTCTGCAGCATATGCTGTAAAAAATATAGATGCCTTACATGTGTTGAAACAGCTAGATTAGTTTATTTTAATTATTTCCATACCATAATGTCATATGGAATCTTGCTATGGGGTAATGCGACTGACATAGAAACTTTGTTGAGCAATTTATAACCTAGGTCCGAAGGAATCCCTTAGAGAAAAATTCAAAGAAATAAATATATTAACTTTGGAATCTCAATATATTTACGACAACTTATTGTATGTACACAAAAACAAAAATAGTATTATTAAAAATAGTGATGTACATTCTGTAAATATTAGGAACAAGCACAAGTTAGTTATACCAGATACTCGACTCCAAAGGGTCAGTAATTCCTTCAATCTATATGCTTTTACAACAAAGTCCCAGAAAATATGCAGACCTTTTCTATCAAAATTTTTAAATTATTTATTAAGCAAAAATTGTCTAGTAAGGGTTATTATACTACTAAAGAGTTCATGAATATAGATAATAACCCCTGGGAATGAGGTGATCGCTACCATGCTGTTTCTAATTGTTTTCATAACAATTGTATAAAATATTATAACGTAAATTAAGCTTTATTAAAAAATGTCTCGCTGGGTTTCTTGCTGGTTCTTCCCAGAACAGAGGTTTTTTTTGCGAACCAGTGGTAAAAGTAAAAAAATGACTTTCAATAAGTATTATGTACTAAAATCTATATTGAATAAAAATGATTCTGTTCTTTTCTATTTTATTAACGTTTAATATTACCCGTTTAATGTAGGTTACATTTCAGTTAAAGTTTCAGACTACTTTTTAGAAGACAAACCACTATTGAAGCTTATTTAGAAATCCACTCGTATTTACTTGATAATTAACATTATTTTTTGCTACGTTTGTTTTTTTACTGGGTAGCAAGTAGAACCGCTTTTATTCCTAGGAGTCCGTCTGACTAGGTAACAGCATTTTATCTATTTCTGCTCTCAAGCAGCAGTGCTTGCACTGCTATGTACCGGTCTGAAGGATGTAGAGTCAGTATAATTAAACACCGAGTTCCATTTTAGATCTCAAAGGTGACAACGCAAGTTTTTTTTTGAAGTTGGCTGCAGGTGTCCATGGACTGCAGAAGCCTTTTACTATTGTTTATCATTTGATTTAAGAAACTGCGATGAGAGGTTGAAAAGAGGACCAGAGGAAGAAACATAGAGGTGTCTTTGCTCAGAGATAGACTTGACTGCAGTTTCATGTGGATCACATACCCGAAAACCAATAGTGTGCTTTCTTAATTAATTTGTGTTGTGTCTAATATTTAACTTTTGATTTTTTTTCAGTCTGTGCAACAACTGGTAAACGGAAGGCTTGCGCTGACTGTAGTTGCGGGTTAGCGGAGGAGTTGAGAGGTGAAACTAAAGAGACTCCAAAATCATCTTGTGGCAGTGTGAGTATTATTAGTTACTAACTTCAGTTTGAATTTCTTAGTGTAACTGTGATGATCACGTCTTATTTCATTGAATAGGTGGTGCGGGAGATCATATTAATTTTTTTACTCTATATGGAGCAAGATGTTAGATAGTTCCTTTTGCATATGTCACAGCTTTCTTTTCTATAGAGCTTATAGGTCTATAGAAAGAAAGCATAATTTAGAGTTTATAATTGGAATGGACTGGACATATGCTCCACTGCAAAAAGGAAAAGTGGAGCAAACAGGTGAAAGTCTGGTACGCAAGGGACAGTACTAGGAGCCTAAGTCGTAAAGTAAGAAGATGGGAGGATGACCTAAAATTGACCTTAGAACACCTTTGGATAAGAGTAGGGGCGGACAGAAAACAGTGGAAAGAGTTGGAGGAGGCCTTTTTCGAAAGACACGCTGAAATAAGATACATTTTGTTATTTACGTGTAGTTTTAGTTCATATAATGTTGTACTTTCTTTTTTAATTCCTTTTTTTAGTAAAGCTAAATTTCCAGCTACATGTAATATGTAAATTATTTCGGAAAATAAAGTCTTTATTTTTATTCTCTTTCCTTAACTTTCGTGAGTCTATATATTATCTATTATATTACGTAATCTCAGGAAACATATGACGTAATCTCGAACACATATTTAATACTATGTATTAAAAAAATTAATTTTTTATAAAAATAAGATCATGCTCCTGATCATTATCTTTACGTGGTGGTGTCACGCTCCAGCGTATTATGTCTGCAACGCGAATGGTTATAGCCTACATTACATAGAATACCGGCGTAAAATAGCACCTATATTTCGTATAGTGACAAGAACCGGAGGCCCTTTTGTCTTGTAACGAGGCTTTTAAAGATAAATGAAATTTATTACTTTCCCGTGAAAATTAATCTCGAAATATATAAAATATCTCGGTATAACGAAGATTACGGGCATTATTATTATTACAAACTTTAAGAGATACAAAAAGTTTCAAACAAATTTTTTTTAGTTTGCAATTTACCCATAGCAGATCACCCCACTTTATCTTCTGTCTAACATTATCAAACATTTTCTACGCTGACGGAGTGGTGACCTAAAGTTTGAATACAATATTAATAAATAATGAGGTTAAAATGTATCACATCACACGACGTAAACTTAACTAAATTTAACATGATTTTTAATTTCAGTGCTACCTTGGCGATGCGTTCCGTTGTGCCACGTGCCCGTACCTTGGCATGCCCGCTTTCAAGCCCGGAGAGAAAGTATTACTTGATCTCAAGTCGGATATATGAACTGTTTAACTCAAAGCCCCAGAAGAGGCTGTTATCTTTAGAACCTGTCTAGTGCATTCATCAAAATAAAAAAAACACCTGAGGGGTGTGTAGGTGTGTAGGTCTTAATTTAAATAGTATTTAATATTGTGATTATTATCATTAAAGTTTTTTTGTTACGGTTTGTTTTATTTTTGTTACGCTTAAAACCTTTAATACGATAATAAGTAATCTATCAGTGGTGTAAGGTGGGTATTACCTATATCTATATATCTATACGAATAAATAAAATTGAAGTGTCTGTTTGTAATGTCAAAATTACAGCGTTTTATTAAATGAATATGAAAGTATAAACGGTACTTATAAGAAAAATACATTTTTTTAAATTTTTGTCTGTCTGTCTGTTTGTTCCGGCTAATCTCCGAAACGGCTGGACCGATTTTGACGGGACTTTCACTGGCAGATAGCTGATGTCACAAGGAGTAACTTAGGCTACTTTTATTTTAGAAAAAGAATTAGGGCTCCGCGTAAAAAAAAATTAAAACCCTAAATAACACGCGGGCGAAGTCGCGGGAAACAGCTAGTCTATACAAATAAATAAATATCAAATATAAGCTAAAGCCCCGACTTCAGAATGTAAAATTATTTTATTCTGTTTAGTTCTTTGAAGTCGGCTTTTACTTTTTGTTAAATGTTAATTTTTTGAGTGGACTAAGGAATGTCACAATATCAATATTGTCTAATCTAAATAGTTACATAAAAACATCATTCACTATTTAGCCACCCTTAGGGGTGAATTGTTTTCCAAATGTATATAGAACCACCCCTGAAGTATATATATTTTGTTATATTTGTGTTAGCAGCAGCAGCCATGCAGGTCTAGAAAGACCAGTATCACTGCGACTTGTAAGATCTATTGTGGTCGCTACTATGGCTATAGTTCACTGCTAAGTCTTTTATTGTGTCATCAATTAATTGAAGGAGTTGCTTACCTGTGAGCATTTTCACTTACTCTGGGCTAAGTCCACAATCATTTAGGATGTGCAGTGGTGTTTCTTTCCGTTAAAGAACAGAATCGGCACATCCTTGTGGATCCCAGGATCCACGTGCTGTTATAGACGACAGTGTCCAGTCAGGGCTCTTGAAGAATACGCAGCTTATCCTACCTTAATTCCAGGGCTTCTGAAGCTAACCTACGATCATAAGCCTGGATTAAGGTTTTAGAATTAAGGTTTCAGACGGCTCCGTGGCGCAGTGGCTTAGCAATTAGTTGTTGCGCTGGGGGCCGCGGGTTCGAATCCCGCACGGAACAAGTATTTGTATGGCCTACAAATAATTGTTCCGGGACTGGATGTTTGTCCTCGTGCAATTTATGTTTGTAAACTGCCTCCACGACACAGGAGAAAATCCTAGTGTGGGGGTAACGTTTTTTTAAAAGAAAAAAAAAAGAAAAAAAGAATGGTTTAAGCCTGGTGTTCCAAATCTTAAGTGATTTATTGTGATAGTTTCAAGGGGCAATCGGGCCAGGCTTTTTGAGATTCCGCAAAATGGCTGCGGTCCAAATTGTGTACTCTCGATTAGGCTACTGTCGCTTCATTCATTATCAATAATGTAGGACTCTTTCATGTTAAAATAACCCTTTTTATACCGTTTTTGTTTAATAGAATATTTAAACACGGTTATAGAGAGACCTTGTATATTTTCTGGGACTTTGTTGTAATAGACACTGTTAAATTATATTATGACACTTACTAATGTTCCCGTCACATCTAACGTAGCGTTCAGTAACTTACATTCAGCACAACTATACAATACGCATTTTGTTATTGTCATTCATCAGTTGTTATTGTCATATGTATCTACTACTCGCTTAATGTCGACACTTACGGCACGGTCTCCGTAGGACCGTATGGGGCCGACTGAAAATCAGCGTCGCTATCCCGCGGCTTATGCTGAGGCGGTCCCTTCCGCCACTTCATCTGTTTCGATTATTAAGTCATGAATTGTTGTTATATCCTCTATTTTTTTGTTTATTCATTTTCTTGTGTTTTAATTTTTTTATTATTATTTTATTATTCATATTAATTTTGTTTATTAATTTGTCATTGTAATATGAAGTGTCGGAATAAATGTCTTTATGTCTTTATATAGCGCAGGGGTCGGCAACCTTTTGAGTCGGAAGAGCCAAAAATTAAAATTTACAAAATTTCAAAGTTTTTAAAGAGCCACAATTTTTTTTCTTGCTAACCATAAATAGTACTTCCATAAATAAAGTTTCTTGATTAAAAAAAAAAACTAACAGCCTTTCACAAGTTTTGACGGCTCCGAGGCGCAGTGGCTTAGCAATGAGTTGTTGCGCTGGGGGCCGCGGGTTGGAATCCCGCACGGAACAAGTATTTGTATGGCCTACAAATAATTGTTCCGGGTCTGGATGTTTGTCCTCGTGCAATTTATGTTTGTAAACTGCCTTCACGACACAGGAGAAAATCCTAGTGTGGGGGTAACGTTTTAAAAAAAAGTCTACTGCTGAACATAGGCCTCCCCCACCTGGGGAGCCACCTGCATCCATCGACTTCCCGCATGTCTTACCAGGTCATCACTCCATCTAGTGGGGGGTCGCCCTACACTTCGCCTACCGGTACGAGGCTGCCTCTCGAGAACCTTCCCGATCGGTTGTCGGTTCTTCGAGCTATATGGCCGGCCCACTGCCACCAGCTTACTAATCAATTGCGCTATGTTGGTTACTCTTGTTCTACTGCGGATATCCTCAATTCTAAGTTTATCACGCAGAGAAACCCCAAGCATAGCCCTCTCCATAGCTCGTTGAGCGACCTTTAACTTCTTCATACGGCCAGCAGTGAAGGACCACGTCTCAGATCCGTAAGTCATCACTGGCAACACGCACTGGTTGTACAATTTCGTTTTCAGGTTTTGAGGTATATCCAACGAGAAGATGTGTCGTAGTTTCCCGAACGCTTCCCAGCTGAGTTGAATCCGTCGATTGCCCTCTCGGTCGAAGTTGGACTTACCTAGTCGGACTATTTGTCCCAAGTAAACATACTCGTCAACAACTTCGAACTAAGTGCTCCCAACAACCACCGGCATAGGTGTGACATGGACATGAAACATTTTTGCATTTTTGTTTTTTCCATGTTCATCTTAAGACCTATCCGTTGGGAGACACTAATGAGGTCATTGAACATAGTGCTTAGGTCCTCCAGCGATTCTGCTATAAGGACTATATCGTCGGCAAATCGAAGGTGAGTGATGTACTTGCCATTGATGTTAATACCGCATCCATCCCAGTCCAGTAGGTTGAAAACTTCTTCCAATGTAGCGGTGAAGAGTTTCGGGGATATAACGTCACCTTGTCTTACACCTCTCTGCAGTTGAATAGGTTTCGTAGTCTGATTCTGTACTCGGATAACCATCGTAGCTCTACTGTAGAAACACTTCAGCACTTCGATATACCGACAGTTAACTTAGCATCGCTGAAGGGACTGTACCACCGCCCAAATTTAGACGGAATCAAAGGCTTTCTCATAGTCCACATACGCAAGACAAAGTGGCAGATTATACTCCTTTGTCTTCTGTACAATTTTCCGAAGGGTATGTATGTGGTCTATGGTACTAAAGGTTTTTCGGAAACTGGCTTGTTCGGGTGGCTGGAAGTCGTCAAGTCTGCGTGCGAGACGATTCGTAATGACTCTCAAGAACAGCACGTAAACGCGGCTCAGAAGGCAAATCGGTCTGTAGTGCTTCAAGAGAGCGTTGTCACCTTTCTTGAAGAATAAGACCACCACACTTCTGCTTCACGCCTCCGGAGTAGTGCCACCATGGAGGACGGAATTAAAGAGCTTCTGAAGGACTTCAAGTACCGGTTTTCCACCAGCTTTCAAAAGCTCCGCTGTAATTCTATCCTCACCTGGGGCTCTGCTATTTTTAAGGTGCTGGAGAGCCATTCTAGTCTCGCTCAGACTGACGTCCGGGATATCTTCGGAATAGCATCGGATAAGACTCGCTCTTGGATCGTTACTCACACTTGCGTGTGGCTCCAACGACGACGAACCTCTCAATCTCTCTTAAAATATCAGGTGTCCCGGAAACGATGTTGCCACACTCGGTCTTTAGCTTTGACAGTTGTCTCCCTTTGGCAGAAAGATCTCTGGCAAAGACTTTGGAGCCTTGGTTCCGCTCGATTGCTTCTTCATTACAAGTTGTATTGAAGTTGCGTAAGTCCCGCTGCATGCATTTGGAGATCTGTCTGTTCAGTTGCCTGTATGCTGTCAAATCTGTTGAAGAATGTAGCTTCATCTCTCGTCTAACAGCCATGAGATTAAAAGTGTGATCGGAGAGTTTTTGTGTTTTTCTGCGGCGGGTCTTGCAGAACTTAGCTCCGACCGCATGGACAGTTTCCACGAGCTTGTCATTCATATCGTCCACTTCATTGCAGTCTTCTAGGCACTAAAAACGGTTTTGTAACTCGAGCTGAAAGGTTTCGGGACTTTGGAACAGAGCACGAGGGGGACGGAGCGTTGACTTCATTAGACGAGACCTCTCCAACTTAACGTTTAGGTTCAGTGTGCCTCTAAACATTCGGTGATCGCTACCAGTTTTCACCCTCGCGATCACGGAGACATCACTGAATAGTTGTCGTCTGGTCGTTATAATGAAGTCAATATCATTTTTTGTCGAACCGTCGGGGCTCGACCAGATCCACTTCCTGTGGGGCCGCTTCCGGAAGAAAGAGTTCATCATAAAGAGTCCCTCTTTCTCCATGAAGTCGGCCAGCTGCTGGCCCTTTGGGTTCCGTTGCCCTATTCCAAATTTCCCTACTTTCAGCTCACCGTTCTCTCTTGTGCCTAGTTTTGCATTGAAGTCTCCCATTAACACCGTATATTGGGTTTTGGAGGAATGTATGGCTCTAGAGATATCCTCATACATTTCCTCCACCTCCTCATCGGGGTGTGCTGAGGTTGGTGCGTAAACCTGTATGACCTTCAGCGAATGCCGTTTGGTGA